TGAGCCTTAGTTCTTCAAGAACCACCTCTCCTTTGGAGACCCCATATCTGCCAAGTAGCACAAAGTTGTCTCTCCTAGGTGTTAATATATAACACACAGTTAATATACAACACAATGAATATTTTCAACTCCTTCAACACCATCCGCCATTCTCTCAGTAATTTATTCAACAACCATCTATTGAAGATGTTTGTAATGCACTGTACTAGGTACCAGGATGTCAAAGGTAAGTAAAACACCTTGCCCTTGAGAAGGTTTCAGAAAGGTAGAGGTATAAACAAGTAAACAGGCAAATTACCAATACAGTAAATGCACCATGGAGGTGAGTGTGAACCCCCCACCCCCAACACACACACATTTTTTCACTCATATAAACACACAAAACCCCCTCTACCCCATGAATGTAAACTTCCCAAAATGCCTCTTTGAAAGTTTTGAAGCAGACACTTGGAAAAAAATTAATGCTAAAACCCTCTAATTTTGTAATTTCAGTAGAGTCCGTTGAGCTATACATTTGTGTGTGTGTCTGTGTGTGTGTATTTGTGTGTAAATATTTGTTTTCATGTGGATCTTTATATAGCATTTTATTTAAGGATAAAATATTTTGAGCAACTGATGCTTTAGATAGTCAGGTTAATCTAACACCCATAAAATTAGTTACTAATTCTAAAACCAGGTTTTAGTTTGCAATGTCTTAAAACTAACATTCACTGATATATCCCAGTGATACACAAAAAGTCTGGACTGCTTGTTTGAGAAGACAAGGACCAAGAGTCAGTACGATTTAAATTCATAAAATCATGATACCTATGCCAAGAGCAGACATAGCCTTGTTTTCCAAATCCTACTTACTCAAAGGATTCCTTTAATCAGTGAATGATAGGAATTTGGGTCTGTGATAGGAGTTTGGGTCTGTCTTTCCTTGTACTTTCAGTATGTAGAACAGGGCAGGCTCTGGCATCAGACTGCCTAGATTTTAATTTAGGCTCTTCCATTTGCAAGCTGTGAGATTTCTCCAAGTCTCAATTTTCTTATCTGTAAGATGGGCATAGTAATAGTAACTTTTAGAATAGCAACCTTTCTTTAAGAATGTAAAATTGTTAGTGTATTCATTCATTTCGTTTAGCTATCTATTCAACATGTAGTTATTGAAAGTTTCATGTGTGCAAGGTATTGGGCCCGTTGGGGAATGCAAAGATAATTCAATCACTGCAAATAGAGATCAAGATGGACTTGGAGTTTCAGACTGTGGTCCTGGAATCCTGCATGTTTTTCTAATTGAGTGAGCTTAGTAGACATAGATACATGGAATACAGTAAATAATGATTATGTAATCAGAGTTTACTGGTCTTTCGGAAACATAGAAATGGTAGGTCCTTGGTAATCCAGTCACAACATTTCCTTTTCCCCAAGCTTCATCGTTTTTGTGTTTTGTTTTGTTTTGTTTTGTTTTGTTTTTGAAACAGAGTCCCATTCTGTTGCCCAGGCTGGAGTGTAATGGCGGGATCTCAGCTCACTGCAACCTCCACCTCTCCCATTCAAGTGATTCTCCTGCCTCAGCCTCTGAGTAGCTGGAATTACAGGTGCCCACCAGCACATCTGGCTAATTTTTGTATTTTTAGTAGAGTCAGTGTTTCACCGTATTGGCCAGGCTGGTCTCGAACTCCTGATCTCAGGCTATCTGCCCACCTTGGCCTCCCAGGGTGCTGGGATTACAGGCATGAGCCACCATGCCTGGCCAGCTTATTGTTTTCAAGCCATTTTAGCAAATCTTTGAATTTTCTTCCACTTATTCACAAAAATAAAAATATTCTCCATAGATTTCCAATTTCCAATGATTGCTGAGAGCCATATGAAGTATTTTTAAAATGTACTCTTGCATTTATTTAATATATGCAAGTATATAGAGTAGGGAGCAAAGATGGAGGTTAATGATGAGGATATGCAATTGAGAAAAAGACCAATATAATCCATGCTTTCCTGAAGCTTATATCCCAGGGAAACTCACCTCAAGGAATGAATCTATGTTCTCCTCTTGGGCTGAGAATAAAAACATCAACCGTCTATACCTGTTTCTTAGCTACTCCATGAAAGGCTTTATTTGCAGCAACAAGAGCCAGGAATTTCGAGAGGAAACAAATCTTGAAAGGAGGCCTTGAGTGAGCAATGCTAAGAAAGAAAGGGGGAGAGGATGTCAGCAGCAGAAAAGCTGTGGGACTAAAATAAGATTAGTCAAACTGAAAATAAATAAATAAATAAATAAATAAATACACCAACTGGAGAATCTTTTAAAATATTCCACACAATTTTTCAATTTGGTGTTAAAGGTTAAGTGAATTTTTCACTGAAATATTGATTCTAACCAGTCCAGTTCAATCAAATGTTATCTTTCTATCTGTATTAGTCCATTTTCACACTACTGATAAAGACATACCCAAGACTGGGCAATTTACAAAAGAAAGAGGTTTAATGGACTCACAGTTCCAAGTGGGTAGGGAGGCCTCACAATCACAGCAAAAAGTGAAAGCCGTGGCAGCAGACAAGAGAAGAGAGCTTGTGTAGGGAAATTTCCCTTTATGAAACCATCAGATCTCTTGAGACTTATTCACTATCATGAGAACAGCAAGGGAAATACCTGCCCCCATGATTCAATTGTCTCCTACCAGGTCGCTACCACAACACATAGGAATTATGGGAGCTACAATTCAAGATGAAATTTGGGTGGATACACAGCCAAACCATATCACCATATCTATTCCTTTTGCACCATTTTGTCATGCAATCAAATGGGTTTCTGAACTGCCAATTAGTTTTTGTCTATACATATATATATATATATTTAGAAATGTACTATATATATATTTCTAAATTTCTCTGGAGTTGATTTGGAGATACCTTCAAAGCCCTGATATCTTATCTAATTTACCGTTTAGGTAGACAAATGGCAGAACATACCTTTCTCTCTGTTTTTCTCCTGCTAAAAAACAACTTTATAGAAGACCTTGAAGGAGATAATTCCTAGAGTCTAACACAACAACAAACAGTCAGAATCTAAACTGGTTTGAAGGCAAAAGAAGCTACCTTTTTAAAAATGCAAATGTCAACCTCCCCAGTCCTTTTTTATTTAATATAATGATTAAGGCTTGGCCTACAAAGCCACTTATCCACATCCACTCTGTAAGAACCAGAAGCTCTTTGAACACATAGGCAGCTCCTGATCTCAGGTTTTCAGATGCCAAGAGTCAACTGAGGTAGCAATGTCATGTTCCAGTAGCTTGTGATCACATGGCAACATCGAAGCTGAGGTAGGAACACCACTCCTCGATGAGTTAAGTGTTTAGAGATGGTTGCCATCTGTTCTAGCTATTTGTTCCTAAATAGGTAAATGTAAGAATAACCAGGCATTCCTACAGCAATTCTCTTACAAAAAAAAAAAAAAAAAGTTCATTAGCACATTTTCTGCCAGCATTTTTAAACAGCAATCTAGGTAATTCTGACACAGATGGTCTAAGGGCTACACTCTGAGATGCACTGGTGTGTAGACAAACCCTCTCTCACTCAATCAACAGACTGATCAAGCAGTGATTCCCAGGAATTGAGTCTGGTGCCAGGATGACTACTTAAGAATATAGAATGTTAGAAGCTACCCTAGATTTACGAGAGCCCAGAAATCTGCTTATGAATCCGTATACTTAAAAGTTCTCCAGGAGATTGTAATAACACAGTCTGTGGTATTAGAGAGAAGGGGTTGGGTTTTAGCTTACTAAATCTATGAGTGGGTCCTTATTCCACAATTTACCAGTGTCTAACCTTATGTAATATCTTTGGTCTGTGAAACAGCTATTGTGAGGATTAAATAAAGCAATACATGTTGAGAGTCTAGCATGTAGTAACCTGCTTGCCATTGTATGCCTAGCTCTCAGTAAGATATACAGAAGTAAAAATGTATGCTTCATGACTTTGGGAAACATATAATCTATTTATAAAACAACATAAATATTAATAAAAATGTGAAATACGAGTTTATATTCTAAAGCTGTAACATGGTTGTACACACACACCAAAAAGCACACAAGACCCAATATTCAGAATAATACAATAGAGAAGTATAATGACATAGGAACAATCATGTAAAATTTTCTTTAAAATGTTTAATTCTTCTTTAGGTAACCTAATTCTCATTAAATCACCGAATTTTTATTTAGATTATAGAAAAATATTAACATCATGAGTGGCAATCAACTTGTATTTATTATTTGATTATTTAAAATGAGGGGTAGAAAAATAGCACTGTATACCTGGGAAGGGGTTTCATAGGATATGCCTAAAGGGGCCCAAGACAACCCTGAAATTTTATACAGAAGCGTTGTTTATATGAACATGGATATTTCTGGGGACAGATCTATAGCTTTCATTTTTCCAAAGGGTTTTGTGGCCACCCCCCCAAAATGTTAAGGACAACTGAAGATTACCATTTAGTACATTTTATGTACATCCTTATTTATGCCAAGGAAATATAACTCCTGATTGCATGCCCAATAATTTACTTGTTTGCTTTCTCTGACCTGTCCTCTGAGTCAGTTTTCCACAAGCTTTAACCAGTCAAATATCCCAAAAAAAGAAGAAAGAGTAAGATTCAATTTAAGAAAATTCTAAAGCAGAGTTTCGTGACTACCTCAGCTTATTCCTATTCTGCAGACATCAGCATGGAAATTTATGTACATGTTTTTAAAGTTCCAGGGCAGAGATTAACTCATGATCATTTTTGAGTTTTTCCTTTTCATTTTTTATCCATTGCTCAGTTGTTTGAATTATTTTCTATTAGTTCTGTGTTTCTTTTCTTCTCAGGTAGGAAAGTGAAGGAACTTCCCTGGAAGGATACAATTCAATTTTGCCAACTTGCATTTTGTCAACTTAGCAATTCTTTCATTTGTATTTTATTTATAATGCGGTAACAACACTATTGATATTACATGTTTTTATTTCTCTGGTTTTTTTAGGTGTGTGTGTAATATTGACTGTTCTCAAACCAACTTCAATCCCCTCTGTGCTTCTGATGGGAAATCTTATGATAATGCATGTCAAATCAAAGAAGCATCGTGTCAGAAACAGGAGAAAATTGAAGTCATGTCTTTGGGTCGATGTCAAGGTAACGTTCATACCAAAATTCATTTCGAAGAATGTTTTTAGTCTTTGTGCAAAAATGAAAAGTGAAGAAAACTCCTTATTAGGCAGCTATTCCATTTTCAAAATGCAGTTCTTATTTACAATGGATCGTAGAGTCTACTGTAGCATTTTTGTCAATTATAGGATTTTGAGGGGCTCTCAGCAACCGTCCAGATCTGTCTCTATACAATGGAACTGTATTGTCACAATGCCATAAACATAGAAGCTAATATTCACAAAATAGCAGACAATTTTCTTGCAAAGGGAAAAAAGAAAGTCAAAGACATTTTTAAAACGAATCTAAGAATTTATTAGACATCCTTGAAACTAAAAGCAAATCACTTCATTTTTATGTATTGATTCAGTACAAATATTTAAAATGCATTTTTAAAAGCAAGAGGTACTAGAATGTTCTATTTTCTTTCTTGTTCAGAAACAAGCATTTTCTTAGTTTTTGATTTGCTACTCCTTTGCCCAATTTTTCTCAGTTATAATTATGAATCTTCTTCTTTTCTCAAACTTTAGAAAGCTCTCTTCATTTTACTATTTGCTCTCAAACAGAAATTGAGATTGTAAATCTTAGTATACAGGTTGCTTAGAACTCCAGTTGTAAAAATTCCTTAATTGCAATGAAGATATTGTTGGAGGAAATATATAAGTTTCATATTAGATATTTAGGAAACAGTTAATCAATGTGTATTGTTAATTTTTTAACACAGATAACACAACTACAACTACTAAGTCTGAAGATGGGCATTATGCAAGAACAGATTATGCAGGTACATAATATTTTCTTTTACAAAATGTGAGCTCTTCTATTAAAAGAGAGTCCTGGGAAATGGTTGTTCACCACTTATTCCAAAGTGAAACTTGCAAGACTTCTAACATGTGCTAGTCTTCTCTTGTCTAGTTCAAGCTTTCATTAGGCAAGAGTAATTTTTTGTTCAAGCAAAGAAGACATACTTTTTTTTGCCAGAGTTAAAGCAATTGTCAAAAATGTCACTAAGACATAATTAGCTTGTTTTGACTGTGCAAATGGTACAAATAACAAAACATTCATCAAATTAATGGCATCAGTGGAAATCAATGCAATTTTTGGCAATATATTGTAATAAATGCAAGTGTTCTTATTTAAATTTTCGTAAAGGTCAACAATGAAAAGTTTGCTAGTCTCTAAAAGGCTAGAAAGGACAGCTACAAACAGTAATGCAGGTTGTCTTATTTAGATGCAAAGTTAAAAATGTATATATAGTTTTTTTAATAGTAAATTTCCTTAGCTTATTTTGAAACTAAAATGTAGTTTCTCAGACATGCAAAATTATAAAGCACCTTATATAAAAATATAAATCATATTTAGCAATTATTTCACTTTGAAGAATGTCTCTAGCTAATCTAACTTTTCTAAAGTGAGAAATAATTCATGTGTATGCAACTGAAATTTTAACAGATACTTAAATGTTATAGAAATTTGGGATAAAATATATAAATAATATTATATAGGTTGATAATGATATGTGAAGTTTTTAGACAGAGCTTTTCATTTAGATATTAAGCAATCATAACTAGATTTATGGCAAATATTCAATCAAAAAGAGTAGTTTCTTATCTTTTAAAATATTTACTACCATCTATTCTTTCTTTCTTTCTGAAATTTTGTTTTCTTTAACAACAGGATAAATATCTACGACACTGAAAAAAATTAGTTAATATACTTATAGACATCTGAAATCTCTTAGAATTTGGAAATAAAAGATATTTTAAACATTTCCCACATTTTATCTTAATGTTTTTCAATATGTAGATGGAATTTTTATGCACTATAAGACAGAAATTATCATGGACAATTATACATGGAAAAACATTGGCTCTACTATTATGTAGCCATTCCTAAAGTGTCCAGGAGAGATATTTACAGATGTTCCTTGAAAAGAATAGTTCAGTGGTCTATAAGTTTGGAAGAGCTCATATAAACAAATGGATCTTCTACCCAGAACTTCTCACAGCTCTTTTGTTCATTATGAAATATTTAAGAGACATGCATCTTTTATTTATTTTACTTTTTGTTGTGGAGAGTTTCAAATAAAGGTAAAATACACAAATGTAGGCTCTATAGCATACTGAACCCACAAGTACTCATCATTCAAGCCCAGTAACACCAACCCGTGGCTAACCCATCCCTGTCCTCACCCCTATCTTTTTCCTCTATTTTCATAATATGTGGAAGCAAATCCTGGAAATTTCATCATTTCATTCACAAATAGCATGCATCTTTAAAAAAATCAATAATTTTTTAACAAAATTACAATACTATAATCATATCTAATAAAATTATAAATAGTTCCTTATAATACACAGCTTTTAACAAAGTTGTTTGATAACACATTTTGCAGCATGTTTTGCAGTATTAATGTTTCCAAGAATGTACATTGTGATATGCTGATTCACAGAAATATTATTAAAAATAATAAAAGATAATAATGAAAAATCAAAATCTGAGGCTAATTGTATATATTTTAAATTTTAAATGAAAACAAATTTACATTGTTTATATTTTTATAAACAATTATTATATTTTGATGGTGTTATAAGCCACTGCTACTAACTGCAATTAAAATACCTTTATTCCTACTTTGCAAACTAATTCATTTGGAAAAATCTTCAAAAATGTAGAATTTATGCATACCTTCTTTAGTGAACCATCCGTCTTTGTACTCATTGAAAAATCAAGCCTCTCCCTGAGAATTTTGTTCCTGAAACAAAGAACTCTTCAAGTTGATCTGTGTCACTATACAAATATATATGCATTTATAAAATTGTTCCCATAAATATCTTGAGAGATTCTACTGGTCTCTCAAAGTCATTTATATTGCATGTTAACATTTTGCCCATTTCAAAGAGATTTGATAATTGAATTTTTATTCCAAAAAGTATTTATATATGGTTTTGGTTTTAAACAGATTATCTCTAATGTTGAGTGTCACTGTTCTTAATTGGCATGTTTTTCCTATCTTATTACTTTATTGGGTATCAGAAGAAAAAAATGCATTTTTAATACATGCAAATTAAAATTCTTCTGTCACTCAGTGTAGTCCAGGATCTTCTAGTTTGATGTCAGATTTATCCTGAAAACTCTTAAAGAAAAACTTTTAAGATAAAAGTAAATTTTAAAAATACATGTTTGTTGAAATCCAAGTTTAAGACAGGAACAAAGATAATGTCAATTGAAGCTTGTAATTCCTGGTTAAACACTGATTGCATACTTCAAGATTCTCAAGACATTTATTTTAGATATATTTATCTTCATTAATGGTTTCATTAGAATACAATATACACCCTCTTTAGAAATCATTTAAGTAATAGTCATGTTCCTCAACATTTCCAAGCTTCCAATAGTATTTAGTTTCCTGAATTTGGGAACATGAACTTTGGAAAAAAATAAAAGGAACCAAATAGAGAGTCTATGTGTCATTGTCCTCTTAATTTCTATTTCACATGCTAAAATCTGTCCAAGGAGGGAAAACAGGAACTGTGTGACTCCTGTCCCTCAAAGTTTGCTGTGTGCTCACAGCTCATTTAATGTCATAGCCACTTCCTATGTTAGACACACATTCACGGACTCTCCCACCAGAGGGAAGTAAGGATCTAACACACTCTTATTTTTGCCTTATATGTCATTAATACTATAGATTAAAAACCCTTATTTATCTCTCCCAGTTTTTTGTTTGAGCCTACTTTAAGAGTCATTAATACAGGAACACATGTTTCTGATTAGAAAATGGAGATCTTCTTGAAAGAAAGCCTAACTCTTAAAATAAATTAATTGTATCTCATTTTTAATATCAGTTAAAAGAGATCCCAGCAAGGATCAGCAGGAGGTGAATTACCAAAATGTGCAAAAAATGCAAATGAAGGGAGCAATGCCTTCAACAAGACTAATATGTACAGTATACTAGAGTGTGGCAGACTTGTTCAGAGACTGAATTCCATGATCCTCAAAGGCACATAAGTGTAGTCGGCACCAGGAAACCAAAGAATTTGCTCAATCATCCCTGCCGGTATTACTTTCTGGTTGCATCTGATTTGGGTCTCTATTCTACCCTCTGTCCTTTAATGAGACCCAAGGCATTACTGAGTTTTGAATAAAGGGCTTTGGATCTCTTCATTTCAAAGCCCAGTGACAGGATACCTGTCAAATGAGCTAAACAGGCCATTTAATGTTATTCTCCCTTCATCACTATAAGACTTGGGCTTAGATTTAAGTCTGTCTGTACACCCACAGAAAGATTCAGGGAACACAGATTTTACAAACCCACGAAGCTAGGACTTTCCAGGCTTTTCATTGTTTTAAATTGCTAAAATTAAACTGTCCTTTGGGAAGTTTTTAAATAGCAAATGTTTTACACCTCTTGAAATTTGCAACATTTTCTTTCATATATATGTGTATATATGTGTGTGTGTGTGTATATATACCCCTCATGTCTTCTAATGGAAAAAAAAATGAAGTTCAACTATTTGTTTTTCTTTATCCAGTATACATGTATATTTTCTGATTGTGTTTTCTGTCTAAAAGTTTGTTCATGCTTCAAAAAAAAGGGCTATATTTTTTCCAGTAAAAATGTACTTAATTTTATAAGTTGTTAGATACTTTATAAAATGAAGTCAGATGATATTGGTTTTAATTATCTAGAAAATAAAATGTTTTTTATTTTATGACATCCTATACCAGTTTTCAGAGTTTGCAGTGTTTTATAATTAAAATACATTTGTATTTTTCTTCCATATTGTTTAAATTGAGATTGTTTAAATAGAAATTGAAAACATGAAATCAGAATTGTTAAAGAAAATAAATATACCAACAGCATAGACTATTACAGTTACTGCATTTAGCCCTAAGTTTCTTTGCAACCAACACAAAAGAAGAAATTATGGTTGAATCAATTCATTCAACAAATATTTGCAGAGTCACTGCAACATGCAAGCCCCTGTCCTGGGGTTTACAAAGGTGAACAAATCAATATAGGTATCTGCTAAATGAAACTTAGATTTTTATTGTCTGATAAAAAAGAAACAAAAAATAAGTTCAGAGATGAAAGACAAAGTTTCTCTATGTTAAATTGTAAAGGAACTATTTAGCATAGATCTTTCTATGAAGCATCACCGAAAAACATAAAATGAATAAAATCTTCAACAATGATTTTTACAAAATATGCCAAGAGGCTCTCCGTATGGCTGGGAATTTTTAAAATCAATTTTTGACAACATCCTAGAGCATAGAATTAAAATATGTATAACTCAAGGACAGTGTTTCTATGACAGACTAAAGTAATGACTTTCATTTATGGGTATTTCCAAATTGGAAAAAGTAAATAAATTACAGAGGAAATGGCTATGAGGAGGAACATGTTTAGCTTATTTTCGTCATGTATACATAGGTTAAACAGGAACAGGAGTAAAGTTAAGATAAAGACTATGCTGGATTATAGTATGTATGTGGGGACAAGATATTTCCCCTGCTTTTAGTAGCTGTTCATGAAAAACGTTAAGTCCTGGATTTCATGTCCTCAGAAGGGAGACAGGGCCTCCCTAGCTCTGAGGGTAGCTACAGGCCTGCGTCGAGTTCCTGTGTTTACTTGTTGAACATTATACTGTGGCAATTCATTATTTCTTGTAATATTTATTTTTAGGAAAATTTCCATTCCTTATCTTCAAGCAATCATTTATACATTAATCTCAGGTCTGAAATATGGAAGAAAGAAATCAGAAAAAGTTAAGCGAAATT